TTTGGTCTGGTAACGCCAGCAGCTGAACCTCAGGCACTTGGTTAAGCTCTTCTGTATTCAAAGGTGAAATTTGACAAGCGAGAAAGTTGGATGTAGTTTCGTCGCTGTGGAGATGGGCTGGAGTTAGTGAGATGGGAAGGGCTGTGTGGGGACAGGTCACTGGGGGGAGCTTCTGTTCTTGTACCTGACACCTCCGGGCCCTGCCCTGGGTGGGAGCATCTGAAAACACCACATCCCCCTCTCAGAAGTGGGTTTAGGGAAGAAGCTGAACTTAAAAATAAGTGGGTGTTGTCTCCTGCATAGTGCTGAGGTGTAACAGTCTCCCTTCCCCGTTGCTGCTGAATTCCCTTAACGCTGCTGCTTGGGGCTGTTGCCTCAAATACTGGCATCTCAATTCCCCACCAATAAAAGGGAGCTGGGTTAAACTGGAGCACAGTGGCCACGGTCTGGGGACACGCGGCAGCGCCAGCACAGGACGCTGGTCCTGGCCACCCACTTGTGGCCGCAACGGGGCCATGCGCTCTGCTCCCAACCCTGCTGCTTTTTATCAGCTGGAAGGTCAGGTCGGGAGCGTCTGGCTCGGATTAGTCCTGCCTCATGCTGATGTTTGCCAACGGCTGCTTCGTCTGCTCCGCTGGAAGGGTCAGCTCTGATTTTTGCCGGGCTGGAGGAGCGGCAGCCTCCTCCCAGCAGCGTCTGCAGAGCTGCTGCGGCAGCCGGCGCCGTCCTCTCGCTGCACAGCTTTCACTTCCAGCGCCCAAACCCATGGCAAACGACAGCGAGAGGGGCTCTACCTGATGCAGCAGCACCTTTTTTTTTCCATGCTGGGCATGTACCAGCCCCGAAAGAAAGATAAACAGGGGGCTGGCGGGCAGGCTGCTGCTCGCCGCGCTACCTGCGATGAGGCTGCCAATGGGAAAGCGCCTGCAAACACCCAGAACCAGCCTCTCCCCTCCGCGCTGGGCTTTCCAGGCTTGCTGGGCTTGGGTTTTCATCGATTTGTAAAAGGATTGCTTTTTTAATTTTTTTTTTTTTTTTTCTTTTTCCCCATCCCCTTTAACCACCTTTTCCCTCCCCGCCTTGCTCCGAGCGCGCCCCAAAGCCAAACGCCGCTTTTCAGAAAGTATTCGGGATCCTCTTGCACCGGCTGCACGGACCCGCCTGCCCAGAGTGATGTCTAGCTCAGGCGTGGCGGGAGTTAAACGCCGGCTGAATCACAACGACAAGAGCAGCTCTGCCCGTCCCGGGGAGGATGAGGAGTAGGGCTGAAGGCAGCTGGGGCTGGAGGCAGCTGGGTGATGCTCCCGGCTCTGCCCCGCTGGGTTGGGAGGGAGGAGGCTTTCCACCAGCGCTGTTTCCCTGTCGAATCTTCCAGGCTCGCCACCTGTTTCTGAGGTTTTGGGTATAAATTAAAGCCATTTCGAGTGTTTGCTGTCGGCCACCCGGAGAGCACGGCTGGAACGAGGACGGTGTTAACGGCTTGATTAAACATCCTGCCGATTAAAGCACTGAAATGGCTCTACATCCCCCTCCCCAATCCTCGGTCCTGGCGTTTGCCGAGGCATAGCAGCTCCCTGTGCAGCTGCTTTATTTCCAGTTCAGTGGGTTTTGGTCGCAGCGAGGGCCGGGGCGACCTCCAGCTGATTTCTTGGCGGTGACATTTGGCGGCTGATCTTCCCAGGCTGTTCGTGGCCATGGTTGGACATTCACCTCTTGAGCCAGATTCCACTAATTCTCAGTTCTGAGGGTTTTTTGAGTTATTCGGGGCTTCGGCAGCTCTTGCTGCTGCAAGAGAGGGGTCGTGTGAGTCTCTATCAGAGTGGGTCAACCCTAATTTCTGTTTTTTGGCACTTATCCTTCTGCTCGTGGTCCCAGTCGGCACTGAAAGCCCCTGTGAAGACCTGAGCGGAGCTGAAACTGAGCCAGGTTGTTTTGCGGACGCTGGCTTCCGTTGTTTGGGCTTCCAAGTTTATTTTTAACCTATTTAATTGCTCCTTCGTTTAGCTTCCTAGCGAAGGGTCTGGCTGCCATCAGCTGCTCCCACCAACAGCGTTGAAGACCCCAGGAATCGCCGCTGCAGGCACGTGCTGCTCTGTCGCTGCCCTCCTCGGTGGCTTTGCTCAGATCACCTGGCGCCCTTCCTTGGGTCTTTGGGAGACTGGCACAGCCCCGCTGGGAAGGAGAGAAGCCGGATCAGCCCTGGGATGTTGAGGTACCGCAGGGATGAGGAGTGGGGGATCAGTCTGAAGTGGAGAGAAGGAGCTTTTGCAGGAAAGGAGGTGCCCCTCTCCAGGTCACGCTGCTCTCAGCGAAGCACCTCCAGGCACGTCTCACCCTTGGGTTACGCCCCTTGCATGGGAAATGCCTGCCAGCAGCTCCTGGAGACTCCCCTAGGAAAAACTCTGGCTTTTCCTAAATCTCCCGGCTCCCGGGTTTGCTGAAATGCCTGAGAAAAGAGGGTTTAGGCAATGTCCCCCTGCTTGGCCCGTCCCTACAACCGCCTCCTCCCTGCCCAGCCTAAACCACCTTGCACCCCCGGGTTACGCTGTTGGGACTCCGATGTTTTATTCCCACCGGAGCTGGGCTCAACCCCGGGAGGTTTCCATGTCCCAGGCGGATGGGACGGCCCCGGGGAGTCACCTTTGTTGTTCATCGGTGTCAGCACCAGCCTGGGGCTGGTTCAGCCCCGGAGCTGATCCGGACTCAGCCCTTGTACCGTGGGATTTCACGGTGGGGACAGGAGGTGGATCCCCCATCCCTGCAGCAGGTCCTGCTCCCCACCCCAGCTTATTCCCAGCCACATCGAGGAAAAGGGCTGTTGTTCCTTTGGGGCCAGGGTAGGGGACACCCTGCAAAGGGTGTTCTGCTCCCGCGAGGACAGCTTTAGGTGGAAACGATGGAAAAATAGGTCGGGAAGTGGGACAGCGGCCCCCGCCTCAGGGCTGGGAGCGGGGCCCAGCGCTGCTCAGCCTCCGCGCAGCTCCTTTCCCTTCTGACGCGCATCCGAAAAGCGGTCGTGGGTTTGTCGTTTCGTTTCTCTGTCTCCTCTTCCCCCTTTTGCAGCAGGAATAACCGGCGGCGGAGGAGAGCGGGGAGGTGCAGAGGTGAGTGTGTGGGCTGCGGGACCTGGGCTGGGAAGCAGGAGGGGGCCGAGGAGGGGCGGTGGGGCCGGATCCTTCTCCTCACCACCCCTTGGAACTGGGCTTTGCGTGCTGGGCTAACCGCAGCGACGCGAGGGGGGGGCCGTGGGGGAAAGCCTGGCTTAGAAAACGCTAAAATTTTTCTAAAAGCAGGGGGCAGGCCAAGCTCACCTTCGATGATTTGCGAATTAAATAGACCCAGCGACACTTTTAAGCCATCTGGAGGCTTAAAGCGGGGCTGGCAGGGCCCTGTGCTGCGCCGGGGCCTTCCCCAACGGGGACGGCTCATCCCGCAGGGAGAATTTGGGATGCGAAGGAAGGAGCTGGGGCAATTTGGGATGCGAAGGAAGGAGCTGGCTGTGCCGGCACGCCATCGCGGTCCTCTAGCACCGCGCTGAGCCGGATTTCTCAGGCAGCTTTTTTCCCCTTCTGCGTCTCCTCGGGGCCGTCGCGCCGTGTTCGGCGGCTGTGAGCCGGGAGACCCCGACCCCCCCGGGGCCGGGTGCTGCGAGGTTGGCTCTGACCCCGTTTTCCCAAGGAGCAGGTGGTGGGGTTTTTGAGCTTTTTGGTTGCTCGTCCCTCCCCGCGAGCTGCCCTTGGAGCCCCCAGCTGAAAAAGGGGGGAGGAAAAGGGGTGTGGGAGGAGATGGGGGAGCCGGTGCCACCCACGCGCGGCTCTCGAGGGGGACCCAAACCTTCCCACCCCCTGGAGATCAGCGAGGACGAGCAGCCCCCTCGTCATCCTCACTCACCCGCAGGCTGAGTCTCATTTTTTGCTGCCTTTATTAGACTGCAGCGAGCATTTTTTTTTTTTATTATTGATCTTTTTTTTTTCCTTCCTTCAAAAATCGATGCAGTTGACAGGCGGGGGTTTGCAGCAGGGGAGGCCGGGGAGGATGAGGATGGTATTTTGGGATATCCCGATCCCCCCATCAGGTGCAGGGCCGGACTGATCCAGGGCTTCAATGCCAAGAGCGGGCTGGGGTGCTGGTGGCACTGGGGTTATTTTTCATCTCGCTGCTGTTTTGGTTTGTAATTCTTGAATTTGGTTAATCTCAACGGTGTCTCCAGGATAAAATCGTGCCTCAAAGGGTGATGCGTGGCCTCGGGGCCACCCAAAGGGACCGTGTGTCCCCCGTCCCCCCCTAAAATCCCAAATTCCTGCTTCCACAATCCTGTCCTGGCTGCCAGAAAGGTTCCCTGATCCCCACACAGAGCTGCCCTTGTCCCCAAGTGATTTTTATTTTTTAATTCCACACACCCCCCCCCCCCCCCAAAAATCAGAGTGAAACCCAAGACGCTGTGCGTCCCTCCCACCCTGGCTCTCACTTGGCTGGGGAAGCTGCAATATTCCCACGGCTCTTCCCAACCCAATTCCCAGGAGCTTTTGTACCATTTCTCCAGCTCGGCCAGGCCCAGGGGACCCAGTGCGAGGCTGGAAGTGGGGTGGAAATCCTGCAAAAGCTTTTTTTTAACCTCCCTTAATCTTGAATCTTACCTGTTTTTTCAGCATCCCTGGCGTTGCCTCTTGTGTCAGCACCCACTCCTGCTCCGGTGCCGGAGCCTCCCCCTCCAAAAAAACCCCAAAAAGCAGCTGTGCTGCCTTTCTTTTTTTCTTTAGCAGCTGGCATTGCAAAAAAATTCAGCCACCTTCTCCCCAAATAACTCCCCCTCGCTCCAAAAACCAGGTATTTCTGCAACCAGCTCCCGTCGCAGATTTGGGGTGGGGAGTTGAGGTGGGTTTTGGGGCTCTGGGGCGCTGCGCCCTCCCCTCTGCTGCCGGCCCCGGCAGCTGCCCAGACCTTTTTGGCTGGGAATCGGGTGCTGAGGGGGATTTTGGGGTGGGGTTTTGAGGGGTCTCTGAAGCGGGGGGGCAGTTATTTAATGCAAAAGCCGGGGTTGAGAGGAGGAGGTGGGGTGGTTCTCTCTCCCCAGGGGGGCGAGCAGGCTGGTTTTGGGAGGTTGGAGGGTGGTTCAGGGCGGGTACCAAGCCAGGGGTGAGTTAAACCAGGTTGGGGCTGGGGGGGAGCTGTGATTTGATTTTGAGGTGGGGGGGGTGTCACATCCTGCAGGAGGGGGGGGGCGCTGCTAAAACCAGCACGGCATCCACATGAAGGAGCCCAGGGCGGCACCGGTGGCCGCCCCTGCCAGCAGCCCCAAGGCCATCTGGTCCCCGGAGACGCGGTAGGGATCCTCGCGCACAATGACGTGGGTCACCCCGGGAGCTGGAAGGCAAAAAAAATAATAAAAAAAATAATAATAAAAAAAAAAAAGGGGGGTGGGGATGGTGGGGAGGGGGGCACTGCTTCCCCCTAAGGGGTGCCAGCGGAGTGGGACCCCCATTTTTGGCACGTCCCCTCTGTCGCCGCGGCTCCTTCCAGCGTCCCCACCCCGCGGCACGGCGGCCAACGGGCGGCAGTGCAATGAATTCACCAGGACTCAGCCCCTTGATTCCCTCACCTGGGCTCTGTGTGCCAAGGGGGCAGCTGTGCCACCACCCCCCTCCCACCCCCCACCCCCCCCCCCGGCATCAAACTGAATTTTGGGGAGGGATGGGGCGAATCGGGCTGCGGCCACCGTCCCAGTGCTGCCAGACTGGGCCACCCACCTCCGTACTGGTGGCCGTAGTGGCCGGAGCTGATGTAGGCGGTCTGGTGGGAGTCGAGGGGCACCGTCTGGTAGTAGTCGTCGTCGTAAGGGTCGTAGACGTGCACCTGGGAGCAGCGGGAGCGCAGCGTGAGGCTGGGGACCGAACTGGGGCTGCGGTGGAGCCCGCTGGGGCTGTGCCTCAGTTTTCCCCCGCTGAGCGATGGGAGCCCTGAATCGCTTGGGTTCTGCTGCGGGAAGGGGGGCCCAGAGTGTCCCCAGTGCCTTGGGGCAGCCTTAGCTCACGTCCCCCAGTCACCCACCTGTGCTTGGGTCACCTGAACTATGGCCCCCATCACCTTAAATTCTGTCCCTGTCACCTTAACTTTGCCCCATCAACTTAAATTTTGTTCCTGCCATCTTAAATCTGTCCCATCACCTTACCTTGTGTCCCTACCACCTTAAATCCTGTCCCTGCTACCTTAATTCTGTCTGTGCCATATTAATTCTGTCCCTGTCACCTTAACTTGTGTCCCTGCCACCTTAATTCTGTCCCTATCACCTTAAATTCTGTCTCTGCCACCTTAATTCTGTCCCTATCACCTTAAATTCTGTCCCATCACCTTAACTCTGCCCTCTCACCTTACCTCTGCCTTCATGCCCCTTATGTGTCCTCTGTCACTGTCCCCATCCCCCTGTGTCCCCTGTCACCTCTGGCTCCACCAGCCCTGGAGCAGGGCCCCCCTCGCCTCCGTCACCTTCTGCTGGTGGCAGCACGAGCAGGCTGCTCTGTCCCTCCCGCTTCTCCTCATCCTCCTTCCCTCTCTGGCTCCAGGGGCTTTTACTCCCCATGTCCTGAGGCTTGATGGGCAAAGGCATTTTTGGGGGGGGCACCCTGAGCTCAGCATCAACCCCGGGGGGGTGGGGGGCGGGGCTGGTGTCACCCCCACCCTGCCCGAAGCCCAGGTGACCCTTTTTTGGGGGGATGAAGCCTCACCGGGGTGGATTTTGCCTCCAGCACGGCCATCTTCCAAGCGCTGCAAACAAACCAGAGGGACCCGGTTTTAGGGTGCACTGAGGGGGTGGGAATTGTCCCCAGGGGGCTGCCCAGCCACACGACCACCCCCCCAGTGACCTGGCTGTGGCCGCAGGGCCGGCACTCATCTTTATTTCCCTGCTAGCCAGCTCTGGGCTAACAGATGGGGCTGGAAGGTACCTGAGGCCCCGGGGATGGGCACAGGGCTGAACGGCCCTGCCTCAAACAAGGGCAGGAAAATCACATCGAAATTGAGGGAAAAAGCAGGTAATGGATGAATTTCCATTCAATGGGGGGGTCAAGATTGATTGGTTGAGCTCAGCTTGTCCATGGCTGAACATCTCCCTCCATCTAAGTTCAGCTGAAGGTTGCCCACTTTTAATTTTTTTATAATTAAAAAACAAATTTAGTTATAAAAATTAATATTTTTAAAAAATTCTTAGTTTTTATAGAAATAGGAGGGGAACAGGGCTAAAAGTGGGTGTTTCCCCTTGCTGGGCATGGCCTTGAGCCAGTAAAGATTCACTTTCACACTATTTATTGCCAAATACTGATGAAAACCCTTCCCCGGCGATCCTCAGTCAGACCAAGAGGCGATTTCTCAGCCGGAAGGGAAACCCCCACCACAGGAGCTCGACTGCTTAAAAATAGCAGGTTTTGGCTCCGAATTATTCAGCAGAAAACCCAGATCTCCACCTGCGCCTATCGCCCTGCGCGCGAAGGCGGGTGTCAGAGAAAACAGGAGCTCCGTGGGGTTTCAGCCACGGGTGGGATGTGGTGGGAGCGGGACAGGGCGGGTCTCATGCGGATGAGGTTCCTTCCAGGTTTGGATAATTTGGATAAAAAAAAGCCGCCGAGGGGATTTCGGGGCAGGATTTCAGCTTACACAGCGTCATCCTCGCTCTCGGCGCACAGCGTCGTCTTCGAGCCGTCCCGCAGCACGATGGTCAGCAGGCAGTCGTGGCTCTGCCCCTCGGGCGGCTGCACATCTGGAACCAGGGGGGGACAGGGTCAAAAAAAAAAGAGACCCCAGAGCCCCTCCCCACCTGCCCCCGGCCCCTCTCAGGTCAGGCTCCAAATTAGCTCCGCTCCGTGTGCCGCTAACGAAGGCAACCGCTAAAAACCTGCTGGGGCACCTCACGATTTCGCTTTAATTTCAGCTCCATCTCCACTTGCAAGATCCTGTTGGGATCTCAAAGGTTAAAAGCCGACGCGAGCGAAGTGCTGGCGAGCAGAGATGTCCACCCCCGCGGCAGAAAGAAAATGGAAGGACAGAAAAGCGCCAAAAATTTGCCCTCGCTTTGAATTTGCCAGATTGCAGCAGGTGCTCCGAGTCTGTCAAAGCACGAGACTCGCCGCTGGGGTTGGATCGTGAGCAAGAAAATCTTAAATCCCCCCAGGTTTGTGTGTTTTCCCCCCCATTTTCAAAGCTCTGCAGGACCTTTCGGTGAGGGTAAAACTTGGGGTTCATGCTCCCGCTGCGGCATCCCGGCTTCAGCAGCCCAAGAAAGGCGCTTTGTGTGGTGGCCGTGGGCTGCCGGGGCCGAGCCGAGCCGCTGTTTTGTTCTCCTTGTTTGTGCGAGACGGCGAGGGATGACTCACGGCCGTGGGATCGTGTTTTGAACAAGCACAAGCCAGGAGGAGAGTTTCTCCTTCCTTCCCAGCGGAAAAGCAACGGAAGATGCGACGTGCATCTCACGGGGGGGACGGCCTGGCGCTGGCTGGGAGTTAGAAAGCGGGGAATGGGGCAGCCTGGATTATTTTGGGGGTATCCCAGATGCGCACAGCGTTTAAAAAGGTTACAACTAGGTGGGAATCCCTGCAGGGGAAGGGGTTGGGGGGGTGGGATGTTGCTCACCTCTGCACTCGCGGCCGATCCTCACGTCCCGGCAGCTGTATTTGACGTGGATCCGGCCGTCCATGTCGCGCTGCGTCTCGTCATGGTAGTAAACCAAGCTGCCGTCCAGGTAGAGAACGAACCAGTTTCTCTTCCAGCGGCGCAGGATGGAGCCTGGCGGGATGGGGAGGAGGTGAAGGACCCCGGTGAGCTCACCCAGCCCCCAAGGCCGTTCCCCCAGATTTGCGGCTGGATTCCCCCGGCTGCAGCCCGCAGGGCACCCCCGTGCCCGGCATGAGCAGCCGGGGCAGCGCGGCCAGGTGGTTTTAAATTAAAAAAAGGCTGCCAAAAAAAAAAAAAAAAAAAAAGAAAGAAAGAAAAAAAAGCCATCAGGGCATCTTGGTGCTGCCCCGCTGTGTGTACGGGAGCAGGTCCAGCCCCGGGCATGGAGCCGCACGGCTGTTTTCATGGCAGACGGCCCCTCTCTCCTCTTACATAAATCCATGAGCCGCTGAGCCCCGATTTCCTCACTGCCATGGATTAACCACCCGGATTGGGGCTCATCCCCCCCCTCCCTGTACCTCCTCCCAGCACCCCATAGCCAAAACCTCTCTGGATTTCTGTTTTTTTTTTTTTGGGGGGGGGGGGGGTCGGGGGGAGCTCCCAACCTGGAAGGCTCAAGGGTTGCACTTACTCTGCCGCCAAAGCCAACCGCTCTTCACCAGCGCCATGGCTGCGGGAGGGTTTTCCGGACCTGCTGGCAGGGGAAAAATAACGGGGTTAAAATAGCAGCTCCCATCTCACCTGTGAGTTTTTTCCCCCTGGTTATCACCTCCCCACAGCTCCGGGAGCACAGCGGGATGGGGAGTCACCCTTGTTGCCCCCCCTTTTTTTTCCCTTTTTTTTTTTTTTTTTTTTGAGGAGGAGGGATGAGCCAAGCGCGCCGGTTAATCGGGGTTAGACAGATGTGGGATTTCGTCATCTGAGAAGCATCACGAAGGCAGGGAGGAGGAACTCCAGCCACCTTCCTTTCTGCTTCTAATCTCATTGGGATTTAGGGATTATCAACCCATGGAGGTAAACGGAGAAATCCGGTCTGTGGATGAAAACAGGCAGCAACTCCCCACGCACGGCCCCAGTAACTTTCCACAGCAAACAACAGCCACGCTTGTTTGTTTTCCCTGCCTGGATGGAAATTTGTCCTTAATAAGGCCATGAAGTCATCGCTCCCTGGGTCCCCTGGCAGATCCAACCCCCCAGGCCCAGGCAGGACCCCAGCACCCCAATGATGGGGGCTCAGCACCCCACGTTGGTCTCCAGGACTGCCTGGCTGGGTCCCTTCCAGGTCTGGGGGGGACGCTGAGGCACAGATCCCCCCCCAGTACCTCTGTGCCTCGGTACCTGCGTTACCCAGCACCCAAATCCCTGGGAATCCACATCCCCCTGGAGTCTGCAGCCCTGGCACCTGCGTTTCCATGGCACCCACATCCCCCTGGTACCTTTGTCCCCCCAGCACCTATGTCCCCCTGGTACTTTTGTCCCCACCCCAGCACCCATGTCCCCCCCCCCCCCCCCCCCCCGTGCCTTCGTTCCCCTGGCACCCGTGTCTCCTTGGCACCTACGTCCCCACAGCACCAGTATCCCCCTGCCACCCCTGTCCCCCAGAAATCACAGCCCCAGAGTACCTGGCACCCTCCTCCTGTACTCATACCCCCCTCCCCTGGTACCCCCATCCCTCAGTACTCTCACCCCCATGGCACCTTCATCCCCCCCCGTACCCACATCTGGTGCCCTCATCCTCCTCTATCCACACCCCCTGGTACCCACAGCCCCCGCTACCCTTTTACCCCCCTGTACCCACATTTTGGGGCAGAAGCATCCCTCTGCTACCCACATCCCTCAGTACCAGCACCCCCGGGGACCCTCAATCCCCCACTACTGTCATCCCCCGGTACCCACATCCCTGCTTCCCCCCCCCCATCCCCTGGTAGTCGCTGTCCCCAATTCCCCACTCCGGGATCCCCCCACACACATCCCTCACCGGGAGAAAGCGTCGCGGCGGGTCCCCGCTGCGGGCAGCGCTGCGCTCCCGCTGCCCGGTCCTGCCTGGTCCTGCCCGCACGCACAGCTCGCCGGGAGCTGTAGTCTGGGCCAGGCAGGGGTGGGCAGGAGCAGGCAGGGCCCGAGCGGCGGGCTTGGTTGGTTAGAAACATCCTAAAGTGCCAGTCTGAGGGGAAAATAGCACTTTTTAGCAATTTATCCCCCCAAAAGCAGCTGCCCGGTGGTGGCGCAGCCGGGTTGGTGCCACTGGTGATGCCCGTGGGTGATGCCCGCCGTGGGATCGGGGCTCCACCACCTCTGAGCCCCACAGTCTCCCCAGGACCCCCCTTTTCCTCCGGAGATGGAGCAGCCACGCGACTGGGAGAAGTTGGGCAATCGGGGAGGGGGGGGAGTGGGGGGGGTCCAGAGTGGTTGGAAATGACCCACGTGCTGGTGACAGCAGTGTGGGTGCCCCTTGGGAGCCCCAAAACCACGTCAGGGGATCTCCTGCCCCCACACGGAACTGGACACAGGGAGATGAGATGTTTAGGGGATGCAGGACCGTCCTCTGGTGCCGGGGGGTGTTTCATACCACAGCGGGATCTTGCCGGAGCAAGCACTGGGGGCACATTGCTGCCAGGAGCATAAATTAGAAACAACCCAAATTTTAAGCACCTAAATGCTTGGCTGAATTGAATTTTTGAGTGGAGTGAATTATCCTCTGGGTTAAAATCAAGGTCCGACCTGGCTCCTGCTAGAGTTAAGAGCAAAACTATCGTCGGCTGTGGAGACAGGGGCTTGATTCGTACGTGCTCAAAGGCTGCAGGGTTGGAAAAGCTGCTGGAGTCATCGCTGCACATTACTGGAACCTCTCGCCCTGCTCCAGACATCCGAAGCTTTGCAGAACCTGTTGTGAGGAAAAAAAAAAAAAAAAAAAAAAAAAAAAATGCAGTTGGGAGCAGAGGAGGAGAGCCTGGGATGCATCCCTGCGCCCCGCCGGCAGAGACACAGCCCCCAGGGAGATTTTGAAATTACAGACTGGGGGATCTGAGGGGATAACGTGATGTTGAATTATTTGGGGAGATCAAGAGCTGAGAACCACCCAACCCCCCCTTATCCACGCCTCTTCCACAAAAATAAGGGCCAGTGAGGAATATCTGTATATTTTATATATGTTTATGTCTCCATACAGATCTGTAAGGTGTGCCCAGGCAAACGTGCAGGTGCTGCCCGCCACAGGCAGGATCTGTGCGTGGGCAGGGATGTGTTCCTATCGAGACCAGCCTGTGGTGAGAGCCCAGAGCCTCTCCCAAAGCCTTTTTTTGCCGCCTGGGGAAGGAAATAACCTATTTCCTACGGGTCCACTCGCATGCTGGAAACAGTCGGAACCGAGACAACTTGGGGAGGGCAATCCCCGGCGGCTGGCTGGCGTTACGCAGCTTAAAATACAAGTCAGGTTATTTATAGTCAAGGCTGGGCTGATAATAAAGATGTTTATTAAGCATATGGCAGCCCTTTCTACAAAAAAAACCCCTCATCTATTCCAGCAGGCTTTTCAATGTAAAGCCCTTTCCCTCCAGCACTGGCTTGACTGTAGCAAACAGCAGAAGGAATTAAATTAATCCAGCAGTGTGCAGGTTGATTACAAAGGAGTTAAACTGCAATTGCTCCGTTGGCCAGGGCACGCACACGCAGCTCCGAGCGTCCCTCCGCACCGGTTATCGGGCTGCAAAACATCCTGGTCGCGCTAAGTATTTCAGAGAAGTATGTGTGGAAATCAGGGGTTGGGCCAGATAATTTGTTCTGCAATTAATTAATTAAAAAAGTTCCCTTAGGAAGGGATTTGGGCTGAAATTTGGATTTACTCTGGGGTATCCACCTGTATCGGGCTGCCCTCCCGCAGGTAGACTAATGCCATAGTTTGGTATAAATTGTTCTCAGAGCTTTTCTGCCACATTATTGTGAGCTCTGCCACAGGACTGGAATAATTTGTCTCCTTGACAGCAAAAGGACACGCCACCGAGTGAAATAAATAGATGCTCTATTTAAAATGGCAGCAGATTTTCATGGGGTTGAAAATCTATAGCGCTGTGCTAATGGCTTCTGCTTGGCTCCAGCCCCGTGTTGGCTGGCAGAGAAGCCATCAACTTTATTCCAAGAAGGAGAGGAGGGAAACACCACTAACAATGACAAAAAGAAAAAAGGGGATAGAAATAAACCCCCCGGGAGCAAACATCAATGCAGCCCACATGTTTGTGATGGACGGGCAGGTGTCAGGGATTGCAAATCGAACATGGTACCATTGAAACATGCCCAAATTCCTCCAGGGAAAAAAGAAAGATGATGCTGACGTGGGATTTTGGGGCTTGGTTTATTTACTTCTTGCAAACTGTTTGGGGTTTTTTTTGTTGTTAGATGGGATAAATTTGGGGCACACTGAGTGGAAATGGTGACCTGAGGAGCCAGGAGGTTATTTCCAGCCAGCAAATCTGCTCAGGTGGAAGAGAGAGGATGCAACGTGGGAGCAGCCTCGGCCCCTCGCTCAGGGGAGCCAAATCACAGATTTCCCCTCATTTTCCACAGCAGTTGGGTGCTGCTCAGTAAAAGAGGCAGACTTTGAAACTTCCAGTTTGTTTTTCCTTCAGCTGGGCTCTGTCTCACCCGGGTGGTAGTTACAGCAAGAAGCTGTCACAGAGTGGAGGCAGAGATTTCCCCCCGTCCCAGCCAAAGATGTCGGTTTTGGCTATGAAACAAAGGATTTTTGAAACTCTTCCCCTGTCTCATGTTCTGTAGGAAACCAGCGTCTCCTCCAGTGGGTCTCCCCTGTCTCCTCCTGCTGGGGAGGCAGATGGGCAGGAGCTCTGGGGGTCCAGACCCGCTGTCCTTGTGCTTGAACCCTTGGAGAGCCACAGGACACCCCAACGTTTGCTCTTTTACTAACACACATCTGCCGTTGGGACGGGTTGGCACCTGGCTTGCAGGGGGGGTAAAACCCCCACGGTGGGTTGTTAAAGAGCCCCCAAATCCCACCGGAGACTCCTTTTACAACATTGGGCATCCCATCTGTGCCACCAGGAGCCTGAACCCTGTAAAGAGAAAGGTAAAAGGAGAAAATGTTTCCCCTGATGTGGTTTTCACACCATCTCGCCCCACACCAACACGTCCGAAGGGTGAGAAACTGAAGTGAGCTGCTCGGGTACAACCCTTGCCAACCCCTGGGACACCAATTCCCTGATTCCCCAGGGGTGGGGAGTGCGGTAACGATCGCTCAGGAATCTTCACAAAAAGCAAAAATCCTTCAAACAGCAATGAGCCTCGTGGGGGATTGAGGAGGGGACACGGGGACATACCGCTGTTGGTGTCAGCCCCAGGGTGAAGACCTATTGGGATTTAATTCTCCACCTCCCAGATACCAACATTTTCCCCAAAATATTCCTTTCCTGCCCTCAAACCCAGCCGCTGAGCTGTGGTGACAGCTTGCACCCACCTCATAGATGTATGCACCAGTGGGTGCTGCTGGTCCCTCCTGTAAGGTTTCATGTGTCACGCCTGCTCCTTCATGAAAATTAATTAATTTGAGTTCCAGGAGAAGGGCCCTTTCCCTCTCCCTGGGGGGAGCCAGCAGCTGCCTTCCTCAAATATCAAAGGAGGTGGCTGCCCCCCCTGAGCAAAGGGGTTTGGTGGGGACAGGAAGAGGTGCAGGCTGGGGTCAGCAGAGGGTTTTTTGTTGTTTTTTTTTTTTTTTTTTTTTTTTTGTTTTTTTTTGAGGTGGTGCGCAGCAGAATGGCCTATTGGCGGGAAAATGGGCGAGGAGCCAGTTTGGGGTGTGAGGGGACGGCGCAAAGCCAGGCCGCGGCAGGAGGCAGCCCGGAGTGGGGGTGGTGGAGAGGGCAAAGCCGGGCCCCGAAGCTCTCCCCGCCGTGGGCCCGTGGCCCCGCTGTCGCCTGGAGACCCCCCCCGGGATCATCTCCCGGAGCCGCCGCCGGTGTTTGTAAAACCGGCGGAGCTCCCCGCGGCCTTCCCTCAGCCCGCCCGGACTACAACTCCCGGCATGCCCCGCCGCACTACAACTACCGGCATGCCTTGCCGCGCCCCCCCCCAGTGCCCCGCCGCACTACACCTCCCAGCAGGCAGCGCGCCGGCACACCACCTCCCAGCGTGCCCCGGAGCCCCTCCCGGGCCCTAGCTCCCACTCCTCCCGCGGCGCGGACTACATCACCCAGCGTGCCCCGCGGAGGGCGGCCGGCGGTGGTGCCGCGGCGGCGGCGCGCGGGGCATGATGGGAGTGGTAGTTCTCACGGCGTCTGTAACGGTCCCGCTGTGGTACTCCCCCCCCCCTCCCCGGTACGCCCGCCCGCCCGCCGCCGCCGCTCCCTCCCCCACCGGCTGCGGGCAGAGCAGGAGCCGCGGAGCAGGCAGCGGGAGGAGGGGGAGTGCGCTGCCGCCGCCGCCGCCGCACCGGGAGAAGGGACGCGCCGTCACCGCCCGAGCAGCCGCAGGTGAGGGGAGAGGGGAGGGGGGGGACGACACCCCCAGAGGGGCGACCGGTGAGGGGCGGGTGTGCGTGTGTGCGTGTGTGTGTGTGTGTGTGTGGGGTGGGTGACAGCGGTGGGGGGGTGCATGAGGGGACGGCGTGTGGGGGGGTTGTACCCTCGGAGGGAACAGGGCCGGGGGGCGGCGGTGGTTTGGTTTGGTTTTTGGTTGTTTTTTTTTTTTTTTTTTTTTTGGGGGGGGGGGCGGGGGGGAAGCATCCTTTCAATGAGTGGCCCTCTCGAGGGTGAGGGTCACGCGTGGCAGAAGAAGAGCGGGTGGGAAGGGGAGACCACCGCCCTGGGGAGGGCGAGACCCACCCCCGAAGCCTGTTGTTCCCCCCCCCCCCCCCCCCCCCTCAGAGCCTGTTGTCTTCCCTCAGCCTTGGTGGCGGGATTTACCCTCAGCCCCACAGGGAATGAGTGGGCTCGATGCCTCCAGGTTTAGGCGTGGGGGGGGCGGGTTGGGGGAACGGCGATGGTCAGGGGGGAAGGCCTCGGTTCACCTCAGGAGTCGCCTTTTGGGGCGCTTGGCTGCGGGGGGAGCCCGCCAAGGAGCCCCCACCGCCGGCTCCGAGCCAAGTTTCACCTTCTCTTCATGTGGAAGAAGAAGGGGAATGGAGTGACCGGGGCTTCACGAGTGATATTTTTCATCTGCTTGTGCCTAACCTCTCAACCTGATGTCAGTGTGGGGTTTGGGGGAATGTGGGCTGCACCCCAAGAGATTTGGGGGGGGGGGGGGGGCTGCCACCCCTTCACGGCGTACCCACTGAAAATCCCGAGAGGGGCCCGCGACGGCGGGAGCGATATCAGGGAATATTAACGAGCCCGCCAGCAACTTGATGGGATGGGAAGGGCTGAGTGGCGGCCGTCTCCCCCCATCCCGCTCCCCTTTGCGGGGGGTTTAAAAATGACTCGGGTTTGATGAGAGGGGGGGATGTCAGCGTCCAACATCTGTAGCCTGAAAGCAGAGAGCGCCTGGTTGTGAAATGTGAGGTGGCGTTATTTTTTTCTGTCTGTATAAAATAGCATATTCTATTCGTTTTTATGAAAGGGGTGATTCTTTTTTTTTTTTTTTTTTTTTTTTTTGGTAATAATTGCTTGAATACTTTGTTACTTGCATTGTGGTTTTCAGGGCAATGAAGTCTATTGCTATATTGTGGGTTAATAATGCCAAAAAGGTACTTGGCTTCAGTCCTTTATAGCAAGCAGAGGAGCTCTGAAGTATGGAAATGAAATAAATATTCATTATCAAAACAAGGTTTTGTACTGTTTTGGATTTTGGGGGGATTTTTTTTTTTTTCCCTCTTTTTTGCCCCCTGCACACTGTGATGATAAGCTTTCAGGTTATGGCTTGTATTTCCATAGACAGAATTTCATTCAAAAGGCATTCATTTAGTGCTGAATACTGTCAAATGTAGAAAAATGAGCAGGTTGTGTTTTTTTTTTTTTTTCCTCTCCTGGACAAAGGCATGTTGTACTAACCAGAAAGAAACCCCAAGTGATTCTATTTATGTTTTAATCAAAATATGATTTAAGATGCAGTGGTGTGTTTATTCTTGCTGTTAAATAGCGACGGAGGAAGCTAGAGCTTTTTTTTGCCTTTTTTTTTTTTTTTTTTTTTCTTTAAGGAATGTGAATGATGGAAACATCTTTAAGGAAACATTTTGCTGGACTTGATTGCATCGACCGCATTATTTCACGAAATGTTAACTGTGAAGTGGTTGTTGATTAGAACTCAAATTGAGGAGCGATGTTGAGCAATGTAAAGAAATGGAAATTAATACTAGGAGGCCAAATGCCTATTTTTTTCTTTAGTTCTCTCTGATGTTGATTTTGAATTTTAACTGTTTCATGGATTCTCTTGATCTTTATGGTTGAAGTACATTAAAAAAAACCCAACCAACAACTACGGTCTGAATATTTATTCTTGCTAGATGTATGTAGTCATTAAAAGGACTGGTATCGATTAACAATGTATTTTTTGGATGGGGTATATATTAAATCTGATTAACTTTTGTTCTGGCAGTTGCAAATATCAACTTACCTAGTTCTGCATCTTAACTTTTTATTACCAAAGTAAATGTTTACATTTTCCAGAAGGAATCTCTCTCTCCCAAATGATGTGCTTATAGTGGCCTTTCATTTTAGTGAATGTGTGCCAAGTATTTCAGATATTGTTGTTCAGAGGTATGGGGTTTTTGGTGTACTCTTTAGCTGATTAAAATTTCTGGCTGTTAGTACAGACACACTTATTTGGAGGGGTAGATATATAACCCTTCTCCTTTGGAACAAAGGGATCGAAAGCAAACTGACTGCACGCAGTGAAGGTGTTTTGGATTTGTTCAGTAATGGGAAATATTGCTTGGAGTGAGAAACCTAAATGATACACCCGTATTGCCTGGAAATTCCTGTGAAGTAACTATGGGATATGGTCATTTAGAAAGAACAGATTGTAGAGATCGTTCCTGATCTTAAGTGATACTCATCTGTCAGATTCGATGCTAAGTCTGCATTGCAGTAGGTGAACTGTGTAGGAATTTTTAAAACCCTTCTTTGCAGTTAAGTTTTCATGCTCCCCGATGTCAGTAACCCACCATACGGATAATGGGGAAGAACAGGAAAGAAAGGTGATACTGCTCTTGGTGCTCCTGCAAACATTTCTCAGGCAAGTGGAAATGCTTTGGAGAAGCATTTCTGCGAAAGGCCTTCAGTACCTCAACAGAAAACATAATTAAAATGATAATTAAATTGAGTCTAAATTTAATTATCTGATCTGTCTAGAAGAGTTTGTGAACCTCAGTCTGGATGCATAGGTGCAGATGCAGCCACTTTAGGCAAGGGAAGCTCGTGTTTAATCCAGATTAGTGTCCGCTTTCGATAAGTTTTCAGAGGCAACTGCCATGAGATTGGGGCTGGTCTCCTTTTCTGGGAAGTGGGATGCTCGCAGCTGGGATGCAGCTCCTGGCTCACCAAGTCCTACCTGCCGCGAAAGCCAGCAACCGTAGTTTAAACATAATTCAATCATATTTTAAACCCAGGTCTTTTTGTGCTGCTGCCTGTGGCAGAGGAGCGTTTCAGACCTTTACCCTCTGGTAGTTAGAAACCTCCCCATTTCCACCCGGGAACTCTGCTGATTTCCAGCTCAAGCGGTTGGTAGCAGTTGATGAGGCTGTCAGAAGGGAAATACAACTTTTATATCTTCCTTTCTGAGCTCACTCTTTCCTTCAGTCTGGATTATGATCTTCATTTGTCTTCCAGTCATGCCTTTTGGGCTTGATTGTATCTGCAGAGGCCCCCGATTTCCCTTTCCGCAGCACAAGTGCTCCGTGTACTTTCTGTTTCCTCTGCAATTCATAAAGCCTCTCCTTAAACTGCGGCGTTTTTATCTGTGCGTTTCGGTCCCGAATTAGCTCCGTGCGGGCTGGTTGGTGCTCCGCTCGGCTGGTTTCTCCTCGGGCAGCTGTGGATGGTTGGGCGCCGTCTCCCCGCGCCGTGGAGGTGCTCGGGCTGAGCCTTGTCACGAGGCGAGAGACGTGCGATGTCCTGCCAATCTCCTCCTCCCAACGCTGGTACGACAAAGAAGTATTTGAAACATCCCCGAGAGAACTGTGTTATGAGCCAGCGTGCTCGGGGAGGAGTGACTCTTGCATCGCTTTCAAAGTGCAAACGAGGTAATTTTACAGCGGCGTCTTTGATTTATTCACGGGCGAGATCGTGTGTCTGAGAAGAAGCTGGCTGCGAAGGAGAGGTTGGTAACTATTCACGTTGGTCTCGTTTCTTAATGTACCGTGATCTTTCTAATCAATCAGACACAATTTTGCCGCTTAAAATCCATAAGTCATCATGTTCAGTCTGTAGAAATATTCGATCCAAAATGATTGAATGAGAAAAGCCTTCCTGTTGTATTCTACAGTATTTTTCCAAACTATGTAAACAGCACTTTTTTGCTGATTTCAAATGTGAATCAGTTAGTCCCATCTTATGATACGGGATTCCTGTCTGCCATCATGTGTCTCTTCAGTAAGTAGATGAAAATTTTTGTTTCAGTGACAATAAATAAAATCCACCTAGCCATTTTTTGCCTGTTGGCGGTCTTTTAACTCTTTGAATTAAAAAATATTGGCTCTTCATCTGTCATTTTTTAGAACTGGGAATAAATTTTCAAGAATTATTTCTGTGTGACTCGACTACCTGCCAGTCAAACAGATGCAGTTCTCCAGAGGTGTCTAAATTGAGTTACCTTCTTGTTCCTTCCACTCAGCTGAATCATTCTGTTCCTATTCTTGTCTTTAAAACATTGATAACTCTAAATATGAGAGGAATATGTCAGTGGTGGTGCTATGTTTATTTATGCAAATTTATGTAAACTCAATTTTTTGAGGAAGTAAGGATAATGTGACCACGCTATCTACCTGTCCACCAGTAATTCTGCACTCCCTTTGCACTTTGATCCACATTTCAAAGGGCCATAGATGTAGAAGACAATCTAGCTTTATTTTTTTTGTTTTTTAAGTTTTGAGAAAGTTGACTGCTGGGCAGCAGGGAGAGGATAAAATCAGTACTTCTATCCAGGGAACAAGGCTCATAACAGTTCCCTTTATTTTTCTAGGAGACAGCATCTTGCTGGCTGGCTGGGTCATGCGTAACCGGAGCACGCGTGGTCCTTTGCCAAACTCGGAGATAGGAGGGAGATTGGGAGAAGTTTTGAGCAAGTGGGGAAGAGCCTGGAAGTATTTTGTGAGTGGTGGTTGATGGCATTCATGTAAAAATCAATGGGAAGTAAGTGCTTGTTTGTATTGCTGGTTTTGGAGCAATATGGAGAGGGTATATATTTTGCGTTGTGCTCTGATGTATTGATGCTGCTATGTCGGATGGATAATCTTGATGTGGGGTTTTGTGTTTTATCTACCTGTTGGTTTGAATTGGTAGCAGCAGAAAGAGTTGTGAATTTTCAGGGTTTTCTTTTG